ACTTGAAAGACCTGGCAGTTTCTTAGTCTGATAGATTGCAGCTTTACATGTATGATTCAAACGCCGATCGAGATGAACAAAAGTCCTCATAGTATCTCAAGCTGTTGAAGTTGGATTCCCTTTTGATGAATGAAAATGGAAAAGAAAATGAACTGTTGCAATATGTTGCATTATTGCCTCGTTACACTCGATTAATTAACTAGCAGATGCTAGATTTTTGCACCCGCATGTTGCATCTGAAAATTTTATGCAAATACTTTGAAATAGTTGTTTTAGACTTTGAGCAAATTATTGTAGCACTGAAAACTCAACTCTGACCTATAGATTTGCTGGATGCCATAAATTCTGCAATCTGTGCACATACTCGAACCCTGTCACATGATTGACAAGAGCATATGTCCTGCCTACTGAAATTTTCAGTTCTGTTTTACTTTCCAGGTGTTGTTGGTCTCAAAAGATGGAAAAGGAGAAAGAAGCCCCCAAGTTAAAAGGGTTTGTTCCAGCCTTCCAGGTATTCTTCAGGTGCCCTGCACCTTTGGTTCAGATCATATCATACTTTCTGCCTTGTAAAGTTGTTTGATGGTAGTGCTAAGGGCATGTACAATGGTGGCATATGGATACATATGCCTCATGACAAAAAGTAATTTGAGGCACCTACATTTATTTTTTCTCCCCAATGCAAGCTATCACTAATGGGCCTCATTAAGAAATAGAAAATAAAGACTTTAGTACACATGCATCTTTACTTTTCATTTCAACCTTTTCAGCTTTTGTCATCGGACCACATTTTTTCTCTTCAAGCACCCGCCTCCTGGAGAGGATCCCGCTTCCCTATCCGAACCTACTTTACATCATATCCAATCCTACGTGGCATGTGAGCCATCACCTTGAGGCTATGCATTGTACATGCCCTAACAAATACTTTCTTCACATTGGGTATGTCAATCTGGCTATTTCCATTGGTCCCTCGGGCGATCCACCCCATTATCCTGCGCCGGTGTCGATTCCGGACCGCGGAAGCGACAAGTTTGTCATTTGATGCTGTCCAACCCCCCACCCACAGTCCAGCTAACTCCTGCTCGTTCTTCTAACACTAATTTAAGCAGCAGGAGGTCAGTACTCCGCTTCACCTTCATCCCCGTCTCTTTGGTGGGTTTGCCTGTTCTGGAAGCTTTGATTGATGGGAGCGATTTCCAGGATGGAAATACTACGAATGGTCCCGTCTTGCCACTTGGGCACCGATCGGACGAAATATGTGCTGGCCATGGGCATAATGTGGCTTTTTTGGGGGTCTGATTCACGGACCACACCTGCACATAATAGTGCAGAGAAAGAAGCAGAGCATATGGGTTATGGGTAGGAAACAAAAGTGAACACCTAGGATGAACTGGCGTGCCCAGCTGAACACCCATTTTGAAACTTTGAATGCATCCGAACCAAATGCACTGCAACAAAAACATCTGGGGTCTTGTGGACTGTGGCAATCGATCTCTTTTAGCAACAAAGCCTCTCTCACTCCAGGTTCCATCTCAATGTCCAATGGTGTTTCCACCGAAAGTTGACGGTCCTTCCACTGGTTCCGACAACCTGAAAAGAAGCCTTTTCTTTTCCCTATAGGATCCCAAAGCCTCCAGATTTTCTCTACTGTAGAATGGAGTAGTATTTATATTTTTTTCGATAAAGAGCGCTTTTATTATTTCGAAATTTAGCATCAAGCGGATACAAAACATTATGAGTAACACCTGGCCTCTGCATAACTAGGATGCACACAGCCCAACACGGAAAGTCTGACAAAATGAATGGAAAAAAATGATAAATCGGCGACGGTAGAGTCCTATAGACCGACACTATGCCTATGTCGCAAGGGATGGTGGACCGATCCGGAGATTATGCTGCTACCCATGTTGGGTAAAAACCATCGTAGCCACCTGCTCCAACCGCGTACACACCGCCTTGAACAGCGGTTGGTACTCCACTCGTTATAGCGTAGACCACGTACGAAGCGAGTGCGTACAACGAAAAATAACCTGCAAAGGAGAAGCATTTTTATCATTGAAAACCAAATCATTTCTACATAGCCAAAGCGATCATAGTAAGGCGTATGCTCCCACCCGTATTAGCGTTTTGAATCTATTTGGAATACCGTCCAACCAGTGACCAAAAATAATGACGACACTTGTGGGCGGATACAAATTTGACGCTATTTGGATGATTGACCATGTAGTACGTGCAAACTTGCATTGAAAAAAGAGATGTTTGATTGTCTCTTCATGAGTACAAAAACAACACTTCTTACTCCCTGGCCAGTTGCGTCGTGCGAGGTTGTCTTTGATTAGAACAACTCCCCTACGAAGATACCACATGAAGATTTTAACTTTTAGTGGAATCTTCGTCTTCCAGATTTTCTTATTGTTGCTCACCGGTACCTCAGAATGCATGAGTGCACGGTACATAGAGTCTACTGTGAATGCCCCTGATGTAGTAAGGTTTCAGTGAAACACATCCCGACCTTGTCTAATATTAATCGAATCTAGACGGGATAAAAGATTGTGCCATGACATAAGTCGGGGGCCAATCAAATCCCGCCTAAACGAAATATTGGGTGGGGATGAACTGAGCACTTGCGCAATAGTATTATTCTTTTCGCGAGCAATGTTGTACAGGGCTGGATATTGTTCTCGAAGACTGGCATTGCCTAGCCAGATGTCTTCCCAGAAATGAACCTCCGACCCGTCCCTTATCACGAAAGACCCAAAGCAAAAGAGATGTTTCTTTGCCGCCATTAGGCCAGCCCAAAAGTGCGAGTCGTCAGATATTCAATATGCCTGAGACACTGCCTTTTAGCCTAGATACTTGTTGCGCAACATGGTTGTGGAGATTACGGATTTTCTCCGTGTTTTCTCGGCATTTCAAATCGGTGCATGATGCCACAATGCATGTATCTGTTTTTTCTTTTTCTCATACCTGTAGTCGTACTAGTTGCTTAATCTAGATCAGGTGTTAAAGTATGTTTTGTGGAGGACGACGGGTCAGTTCTGGTCGGTCAAAAAGAATATATGGGCATCATTCGCTACCCAAACAAGATATTCTATCCTGCGTGTGAATGATGGATTGACGAACACGCACACGTGCAGCTTAATAATAATCCGGCTCGTGAGCAAAATCATGCTGCCTGATGGAGGCGCCTGCTCAGCTGGCTGGGCCCGGTCCACGGTGCAACCAGAGTCCAGAAACGTAGCTGGACGGTTGATCCTCCGTGGACCCCCAGACTGACCTGGCACCGTCCGTTTGTACTAGTACTAGTCTGGACCCGGTGCAGGAGTCGCTCGCTGCCCGTGCTCCCCTGCCTGCCGTTTTGGTGCTGGCATGGTGGGCCGCTAGGGATGGGTTCTTTGCACATGAGCCCCTCACACCAACTTGGGAGTTCAGAGCGCATTGTGATGTTTTTATGTTTGGCATTGCATTGTAGCCTTTGCTTATATGGGTGGAAAATATTTGAGCATTGATAGATAGCCTGAGTTTTGTCACACTCCTCTTTCTAAATGACGGCAAGCAATGGACAAAGCGCGGTGAAAAATAAAATGGCTTCCACAGCTTGGTAAAGTTTGACAAAATGGTTTCACATGGTGCGGCAGGCCAATCATGTGTGCCATGCGCGCCGCGGGTTGCACGTCAGTTGGCTCCACACAGGCCCCATGCTTGGGGTGCGATCGTACTCGTCGCACCCTAATACAAACCCGTGAATTGCGTGCCCATATTTTCTGTTGACAAAAAGCTAAAATCTCTAATCAATGATGCGTCGAACAACCTGTGAACAGAGTGCATCTTGAGACAATTATGGTATTGAATCATACAATAGACATCCATATATGTGACGTTTTTTTGGTAAATATGCTGTCCTATTTCACTAAACACGTTTACTATTTTCAGATCTGGATCGTACTATGTTGAGAGTAACAAAAGGAGAAAACTAATAAACCCGTGAGAATTCCATGGAGAAACCGCTGACCCTTCTTTTCTAGAAGTCTTGTATATATGGCCCACACATGCAACAAAAACATGCATTGTAAACAATTACATTGTGTTGGAAAGTACTCCCTCTGTTTCAAAATAGATGACTCAAGTTTGTACTAACTTTAGTACAAAATTAGTATAAAATTGGGTCGTCTATTTTGAAACGGAGGGAGTAATAAATTATGCGAGGCACAATACCGATCTATACAATCATGCTTTGTTTTGGTAATAATTAGTGCCACGTTAAATAAAAGGATCCCTCAAAATCTACTCAAAGCTTCTCAGCGATGGAAATTAAAAACCTCTGATTTGCACGGTTAAAAAAGGGGACGATCTTAAAATAGTAGCACTTAGTCCTTCAGAAAATTGAAAACTCTACATGTGTTTGCTTGCACAACATGAAATTTACTAGAATTGCGAAAGGGTGCAAGTCAATCAAATTTTAAGTGTGAAATGGAACACAAAGGTGTCACATGGGTGACAGTCAATCTTAAGAACAAACTAAACAAGATATGAGATGCACACAGTAAATCCAATCATCTTCTTTTTCCATGTGAAATTTCTAAGAAATTCTCAAGTTTTTCTTCTTGTTGTCCCATGCACTCATGAGTTTTGTTTCGGTGAAGCCCGGGGGGCCATCTGCAAAAAGGAGCGCCCTGTCTCGTCTTCAGTTCCGTTCCGTCCGCCAGCTCGTGTCGCCCAATTTTCTACTCTGCTCCCCAAATTCTAATCTGAGAAAGGAAAAAGGCGGCCGTTTTACACCTCACCAGCCGCCCCCACGCACAACAAAGGCGACGCAAGCAAGCAGCTTTCCTCGCCTCATCTCCCTCCCTCTCTCAGTTCCTCGCTCGCGCACCAACTCTTTCAAAATCCCCCACTTTCTCGCGTGCCTGCGTCGATTCCGTCCGTCGTGCTCGCCGCCGGTTCGGGGGGCGCCTGGATGAGGCGGCCCCGCTGACCGGAGCCGAATCCGCCGCGCGCCGCCCATGGCGCAGCCGCAGCCGCAGCAGCGGGTCTACCAAGCTTGGAAAGGGAATAATGTAAAGATCCTCCCCGTCCCCCTCGCTCCGGCATCTGCTTCCGGCCCGTGAGCTGGGAATCTTGGTTTAAGAATTTGTGATGTTTCTGCCCGGTTATTTCTTGGGGAATTCCACTTCTCGCTCTTTATTTCGGCAGTTTTATTTAGTGCCTGTATGGGTTTTACTGTCCCTGACACTTCCGGGCAGCGTGAACAGTAGAGCGCTTAGTGTGATTTGATTCGCCGCCGTGTGCTGAAGATGTGAAATTTTCTTGCAATGCGCGGGCGTGACATGGTTGGTTTGCTGTCTGCAGAGGTTCTTCCTCGGAGGGAGATTGATATTCGGGCCCGATGCCAAGTCCCTGCTCGTCTCGGTTGCGCTCATCGTGGTGCCGGTTCTCGTCTTCTGCGCCTTCATCGCACCGCACCTGCTTCACCGATTCTCCGACTACAACGCAGGATACGCGATTCCTGCGGTGGCAGTCGGGTTCATGATCTATGTGAGTTCACTGTGGCCATTCCTGCAGGCAGTAATAATCAGTTAATCAGTGAGCATTTGGGGCACTCATCTTGTTGGTTTTGTTTTGTACACTGTAGGTGCTTCTGTTGCTGCTGATCACCTCGGCTCAGGATCCTGGTATCGTGCCCCGTGCATCGCATCCACCAGAGGAAGATTTTGCGTATGGCAATCCGTTAGCTGGGGAAACACCGGGCAGGCTGCAGTTTCCCCGTATAAAGGAAGTGATGGTTAATGGGATGCTTGTGAAGATAAAGTATTGCGACACCTGCATGATTTACCGGCCTCCTCGGTGCTCGCACTGTTCGATATGCAACAACTGTGTGGAGCGATTCGATCATCATTGCCCCTGGGTTGGACAATGCATTGGTCAGGTACACCATTTTCTGCACACTGAACTCTGTACTTTAAGAAACTTGAAAAGATCTTGAACCATTTACTTCCAGATGGATATGCCTTGAGCCAGAGGGAGGGTGAAATAATTTTATATGGGCTTAACCAGATAGGGTACTGGGATTGGGCTATCGACAAGCCCGTTTGATATTGTGAATACAACAAGACATGATTCTTGGTGTCTGCTACCTCTAGACCAAAATATAAGACGTTTTTGCAGTTGAATTTGAACTGTAAAAACGTCTTATATTTTAGTACGTAGGGAGTAGTTACTCTAGAGCACTATCTTCTGGTTAATTGAGGCAAAGACGTATTGTTCTCCTCTGCTGAAGTGTGTGCCCTCCTTAGAATTGTCATGCCTTATCAGTTGTGCAGAATTGCTTTGCTAATTGATTTTGCTCGACTTGTGGTATCTTTTCTTGCATGTTCTTAATTAATTAAGCATGAAACCGTTCTTCATCACAGTAATTGATACCACTTGAGGGACAAGTTTCAGTTTGAACCTTTATAAGGCACAATGTAAACCCATCATTTATACTAAAGTTCGGTGGCCTGATTAGGTTCATATTTGTGGGATGACCATTTTTCCATAACAGAGAAGCAAATGTACCAGGTTACAAACTACTCCCTCTGTAAAGTAATATAAGATCTTTTAGATCACTACTTCAGTGATCTAGAAGATCTTATACTAATTTACAGAGGGAGTACAATTTATCTTAGGATATTCCCTAGTTTTCCTTTGAAAAGGTTACAAACTACAATAGAAACCAGCTAAGAATCAGCTAGCCTGTAAGTAGCTCAAGCAAATGAAAAAGTCACCCAAATAGTAAATCTCGCTACAACCACGGAGGATTACACTGATGATAGCACCCCCTATCTTCCACTGTCCACACTACATATATAGAAGCCACACATTTGGGTGTTGTATAGGTCACATGCAAGAAACCGTTGCTTTGCTAGGTGAAAAATGTATATGAACTAAGAGATATCAGAACCTTGTTTTTGTTGTAATTTTTGAGAATTTTTGATTCAGTTTATATATTATCACTTTTGTCTCCTGATATTTTATTCTTTCACTTTTACATTGTGCAGCGCAATTACCGATACTTTTTCCTATTTGTTTCTTCCTCGACTCTTCTTTGCATTTATGTCTTTGCCATGTCGGCTCTACACATCAAGTTTCTCATGGACGGAGACTATCCTACAGTATGGAAGGCTTTCAAACACTCTCCAGCTTGCTTGGTGCTTATGATATATTGTTTCATTGCTCTCTGGTTTGTTGGTGGGCTCACTGGATTTCATTCATATCTCATTAGCACTAACCAGGTTAGTTTGCTAACATGAAATTACTCTTTGTTAGTAATTTGATTTCAACCATGAATGCAAGATTGTGTTGCTTGTTTACTACTTATTAAATAATTTGTTTTCATTCGTATATTTGTTTTCAACCATGAGTACATTGAATCTGTTATATATTAAAAAATACATGACTGTCTAACCAGAAAAAAGATAGACAGGCTGGGAAATCTCAACAAAAAGCAAGTCATCTAGCAGTTAATTTAGTGAATCTTCTTTCAATCAACGAAGTATAACCATTAGATCTTTGTAACGGCGCCTAAATCCAATGATTGTGGGGCCCATATTATGACAGAGGTACCGACTCAAACACATCATGTTTTGATATATTACATAACCTTCATATTTTGTCTCTTCCGTCTTTATCTCTCCAGTCATCAGATACGCACGTGCGCACATATCATAATCTGTTTTCTTTAATCTTAGCAAAATCAATTAATTCCTCTTTAGCTGTTCCCATGCATATGCACCTACAGATAATCGGACATACTTTTAATAGTCATAATAATCACTCTTTTTTTATTGTTTCCGTACTTTATTGGGGTACATGACTCAAACACGACCTCATCAGTTCCGACCTAACTATGACTACTACACTGAAGTGAACTTGAACATCCAGGAAATAAAGGCACACGCCTGATTCATGTGTTCCCTGACTAATCCAACCAACTTGTGCACCATATATCCGTATGTAGAAACTTCTAAGAAATCCATATGCCTTATTCACGCACGTACAACGAAATCTTTATTCTGTGTAGAGTATGAAGTATAAGAAGAGATCATGGCCAAAGTCCGAAGTCCAAATACATGCATAGGGTCTGCCTATGATGTACTCTGTGCAGTTGCAACCACCGTTGATGTGGCGCCTAAATCTATCTGCCACAGTTGAATTTCTCCTCCATTGTGATTTTGCTACTTTGACAATCATGCATGGCACTGATTATGTGAATTCTAACTCTTCAGCCCATTCCAGTATGGCAATTGTAAATATCAAGTTCGTTAGCAAGAGGAAAAATGAAATCAAGTTGGTTGGTCTAAAAACTTGATGCATCATTACGATTTTCGTAATATTGTTTGCAGTCAAATAAATTCATAAAAAACAGAAATCGGACATATAACACACAATTTACATCAAATTGAGCAAGTAAAACGGGAAGAAAAGAAGTGTCCTCCATCATGTTTAGTTGGACCTAGGATGAATTTTAAGTTTGGTTGGCACAAGCGGTAGAGGAAAAGATTTGCTTGCGTAGGCAGAAACGTGAAACGGGAGAGCATTCGGGGAAAGTGTCTGTCAGCAAAGAGAATAAGGGAATTTCTATTTGTAGCGCTTAATACGAGGTGAGAAAATTGCACACCAAGCAGTTATATAATAGCAAAAACAATTACAGATCACGCATAGAGGACGCAGTTAAATTGGACGAGCGAATGAGAAGGAGAGAACAGGTGTTCTTCATCATGTGTAATTGGACATGTGATGAACTTTAAAGATTGGTTGCCACAGGCAGCGGTGGAAAAATTGGCCGACACATGCAAAGACGTGAAATGCGGGAGCATTCTAGGAAAAGTGGTCTCTGTCAGCCAAGAGAAGGGGGGAATCTTCTATTTTAAAAATATGTAGCTCTATACTACTCCCTCCGTTCAGAATTACTTGTCTCGGAAATGGATGTACCTAGAACTAAAATACGTCTAGATACATCCATTTCTGCGACAAGTAATTCCGAACGGAGGGAGTAGGTGATAGGAATATTGCACACTAAGCACCCAAAGGGTATGAATATGCTTTTGTCACACAAGCTTGACATCAAGCCTGATTTGTTTCTTGATGAGCAGAGGATACAACCACCTCCACTTATCACCCAAAAGACATTTGGTTGTCTAGAAATATCAAATTAGCTACGCATACAGAATAGAAAGTGTACAATTATATCTTTATTTAGTTGTCATTATTCTCGGAGTTGAAGCAACACACTTTTATATGGCTACATAAAACAATATGGTTAGCTTGATTCGATTAAAAGCCTAGCACGGATTGTATTCAGATCTCAGCCAGTAATACGGAAAATTCTGAAATTCAACTATGTTAGCTGTTAGATAGTTTTTTTTCATGCGAAGATAAGCGTTTATCTAACAAGTCCTATGAATTATGTAAAATAGCTACCAATTCATTTGCCTATCTGTTTGTGTACAGTCGATTGGAACGGATTAAGTCAAAACTCGGAATGCTAGTGCAATATCAGGAAAGATTTTAAAATACGGTAGTATGGTTGTTCCTAGCAAGTGTATCTACTATCTAGTGAGAAAAATAAAATATTATCATCAGGCCACACTTTAGTCTTAGCAGCAGGCCTGGATGAAACTGTATGGTGGAAAGGAACAAAATTACACTTGTGTCCTCAACTAGTAGAATGACCTAATGTCGTATGCTCAAGGCCTCTTCTGCACGCAGAACTTGTTGAAGTTACAGTGCATGACTCTGACATGATGCTTTGTTGCTTTTGCAGACGACATACGAGAATTTTCGGTACAGAGCAGACAGCAGGCCCAACGTCTATGACCGAGGATGTCTGAATAACTTCCTGGAAGTCCTGTGCAGCAAGGGGAAACCTTCCAAGCACAGGTTCCGAGCCTATGTTCAAGAGGAGGTACGCGCTCCAGTGGTTAACTTCGGTAGGCAGATGGAGGAGGAACCAGCTGGCGGCCCTCGCGCAAAGGTAGAAGACGATCCTGAGATTGGCAGCGATCTCCTGAAGATCTCTCGGCGGCGCAACTACGAGGACGTTGACGTCGAAATGGGGAACCAGGACGACGGTGAGAAGGAAGGCATGGGCGACGCCAAACTGGCGGCGGGTTCGGGATCGCAGATCCCTGCGGTCGGGAGCGAGGTGCGGGTGCGGCACTCGAGCTGGGACCGGAGGAGTGGGAACTGGGACATGTCGTCGGACGTGATCGGAAGGAGCGCATCGGATGTGCTTGGAAGAAGCGCTTCGCTCACCGAGGCTGCGCCGCGGTCTCAAAGAGAAACTCACTAGTAGCCAATATGTGTGAATTCTTCTGAACTTTGTGTTGGCGGGCTGGGTTCTGTGATTGTTTACTGATGGTGACACACCGGGAGAAGAGGGAAGGACAATGGCTGTGACCCATTTTGACTTTTGACATGCCATGTTTTGGTATCTTGGATGGTGTTTTATGTATGGACAGTTGGTTGTGGTCGAAGGGTTTAGTGGTAATGGGGGTCACATATCGGTCTTTTTTGCGCCGCTGTTGTCATCTGACAGTGTTCGATGCCATTCTTTGTGTAAATTACTGATGCAGGATACTCATCCACCTGTAATTCCTCGCCGGCTCTTCTTTGACAAGTTTGCATCCCAGCTTGGCTTTCGTCGTGTCTTTTCCCATTCCATTCTTCTAAGGAGTATAAGAGGATATACATCAAATTAGTTAGTTTGCCTGTTGGCGTCATCTACTAGTATTTGTGTGCAAGCGACGTAAAACTCTTTGTGTTCTTCTGGAATTGACCGTTCGAACTTCGAAGGTTGACAGTTGCTTTGTTTCGAGTGGAACTGCATTCTCAAGGATGAGAGCATCTTTTTTGTTGGTTTCCTCTGGGGTTCTCTGACTGCTGCAAAGGAAGGACTAGAACTGGAGGACCGGAGCACGATGGAGCCTGCCTGATAGTGACAAACCGGAAGACATCAGGATCCCAGGTCCATTCTTCGGACCGGAGACCAGGAAGAGGAAGATGCTTTTGGCTTTTGCAGCTTCAAACCTGAAAGAGTTTTGCGTGCAACTCATATGACATGGGAAAGTCAGTCCTACCCTACTAATCATTTGTACTGCATACACATCGAAAATGACTGCCACGATCCCGGATCTTTTTTAATCCAAGTCTACTCGACGGTCGTCGGATGGTAAGTCTACTGCTTTGATCGTGGACCAAAACTGGCGATCCGTTTGCGGCAGTTCTGACTGAACCTGGCCGGTGTCTGTGCGCTGGTACGCTCCAAGAGCCTACTCAAATTGAATGGCTGCGCGACCACCTTTATACTGTTTGGTCAATGAAAATGAAATGCTTGCACCTATCCGTTTGTGTTTGTTCTTTTGCGTGGCTTCCCTTCAATTTCCTTTTTCTTTGCCTTACCGTGTCAGTTCAATGAAGTGATCCATATGCTGATTCAGGAAGCCAGGCATTGGAGTTGGTATTCAAAGTTTCTTGAATAACCTGACTGTCTGAAACTCGCCAATCTCCGGTCTACATAGTGTAGGTAAATGACGAAAAAAAATCGCTAATTAGTGGCACTGAAGTTTTCGTGTATTAGACATTCCAACGTCCATAATTAGACGCTAAAATGAACATATGAGTTTTCTCTTTCCATTTATCTCTCTTAGCCTTTTTTTACCCGCATCTCATCTTCTTTTTTGGAAAAAGATCTGAAACTATTATAAAAATATATTCAGCAGAAGTACACCCCAAACTAAAACCATTGAGATCCTTGAACCACCAAACAGCCACTACCGTCGGCAGAATGAGCCGTCGATGCGCTGTCGCTCACCTACCGAAATCGATATGAGCTTATCGATGATAACCGGAAAGTCTTCATGCACGTGCCCCCCAGGACCACCGCCCTGGAGATGTAGTCATTGCCGTTGTACTCTTGATTCGATCTGACGCGCCTGACGACACGTCGTCTCACGAATGCATGACGAGAACTTTGACGTCTCAAGGATCGAAACCCGAAAGACCAGCTTGAAGATGAGGCGCCGCGATCGTTTCAGTCCCTATGTAGAAATATCCAAAACATATGACAGTGAACGGAGAGAGTACTTTTTAGTGAGACTTCATTCTACACGGCTTGGGTAACTGACAATGCTGTTACCTCACCATTATGGATGGGCATTTTTATCATGAATATCGCATTGCAGGCCCCCACCAACCCTCGGAATCTTTCATGCGGTTCTGCTACTCCTCATACCAGCCGTAATAATCGCCCGTGCTGGAAAGGTCCCCCAACCACATTTTGAAGTGGGTTTTCAGTCGTCTTCACGCGCTTTCGTCAACCTACTGACCCCTTGTGGTTGTGGTGGTGATCGTTCCATGAAAGCCACTGTACCTGCTTCAGTGAAGGCGACCTCACTTGTTCCGTCCACTGCTGACCACTCCCGGTTCGTGCAGCCAAGTCTGCATTTCATTCAAGTTGCCACATTAACACTGTAGATGAGATGGGCATTGCTGTTCCTTACCGTTGCATAGATAGATCACACTGTTGGCCATGTGCCATTGTGCCCACATGTCATTTGCACTGGCCAATTGTAAATTTGCAATTTGTACTATACTTCTTTTTTTCCTTTGTGATGGCACTGGACTAGCATAAGAGAGATGAAGGAAAACAAAAATGTTTCTTGAAAACAGAGTTGACTGTAGTGCCATCTGCATCTGAACGGAAGACTCTCTTGTCCTGTTCAAGTTACAGATTTGTTTTCTTTGTTTGGCAATGTCGCATATGCATGCATCGATCAGAGTGGATGCGGTTATCCGTACGCATGGCCCCTGAACTCCATGTCGGATGCGGTTTGATCAACAGGTTGGCGTTGAATGCGCACTGGCTCTGTGCAAACGGCGGCGGGCCAGTCAAACTTGACCTTACTGCTCACTGTTCGGACACTCATCAGCGGTCCTTTCGTGTTTTTGGATTGAGAAGTTGCTTGAAGTTGAACAAACAAAAAGATCGCGTCAATCATGTACTGTAGCTATTACAATTCTTTTCTCTAATCATAACGTTTCAAAATAACATACACTTCGAATCATTTTTATATCAATATTTACTGACACTATTTTTTTAAAAAAGGGGCAAAAAGAGCACCACTGTAAAAGCAGTTATATTTACACACTGGTAAAGGCAACTCCAACACGGGCCATCTTATCGCCATCAAATGTGATTCACGAAAAATGCTCGGACTAGCCCGGACGTTCGAAATCCCACAAACTGGCATCACATCGGGGGAGGTCTGGGGGGATCCGGATGTCCGCCATGTCGGACTCCGACACCCGGGACCCACTCAAAACCCCTCTCCACGTCCGCTCCAAAACCCTCAGAGAATATACTCCAGTTGACTAGCCTCCTGCCTACCCGCGGTGGTGCGACGATCGAGAAGCTTACTTCATCTTTAAATACGGGTGGGCTTCTCCTCTGTAAATCCTACCCACACAATCACCCACATGCCCCACACATACATCGTCGTCACACATCACCTCACCTCCGGCCGCCGCGATGGGCAAGAATTGAGTTGTCGTGGAGTGTTGGTTGATAACCCACAAGTGTAGAGGATCTATCGTAGTCTTTTGTTAAGCAAGAATGTCGAAACCAACAAGCAGAAGAAGGAATTGATTGATGGAAACTAGTAAGAAATCACTGTAAAAGCTAATACAATGATGCAACAAGTGATCATGCTTAATTGTGCTAAGGACAAGCCAGTTGTTTTACTTATAAGGATCAAATCGCTCTCGGGGACACATGAGAGTTTCGCCAAGTTACTTTCATCTAGTTTCATTGAGTTAACGTTCATTGCTTTGATAATTAATTCTCTTGCCAAACCTAGCTATGATAATGTGTTGTTCTTACTTGAACAACAACATACTTATGATTATACCCTCTATGCGAGCATCAGCAAATGCAAAAATAATAATTAAGATATCATCTAACTGTAGCAATAAACTTCCGGGTTCCAACAGCCCCTCATGCAACAATTCATAGACTTAGGGTTTAATAACTTTGTTACTCCAACAACCCACCATAGATAAACTAATCACACAATGCTCTCTTCCAGGCCCATGAAGGTTAAGTGATATGTAGTCGATGTTCGCACATCACCACTAGAGATGACATCACAACATAATAGCAAAATATTGAACTGTATTCAACTTCACAAGATTACTACCAACAAGGTTTCCCATGTCCTCAAGAACATAACAGACTACTCACAACGCATCACATGGATCATAATCAATGGGGATGAAAGTATTGTTGGGGATCGCTGCAGAAATTAAAAAATTTCTACGCATCACCAAGATCAATCTATGGAGAGACTAGCAACGAGAGAGAGGGGAGTGCATCTTCATACCCTTGAAGATCGCGATGCAAAAGCTTTACAAGAACGCGGATGAAGGAGTTGTACTCGTAGCGATTCAGATCACGGTTGATTCCGATCTAAACGCCCAACAACGGCGCCTCCGCGTTCAACACACATACAGCCCGGGGACGTCTTCTCCTTCTTGATCCAGCAAGGGGAGAGGAGAAGTTGAGGGAGAGCTTTGGCAGCACAACGACGTGGTGGTGGAGCTTGCAGTTCTCCGGCAGGGCTTCGCCAAGCACTACGGAGGAGGAGGAGGTGTTGGGGAGGGAGAGGGCTGCGCCAGGGGAAGGGGTGCGGCTCCCATGCGCCTCCCCACCATATATAGGGGTGGAGGGGGCTGTTTTCTTGCCCTCCAAGTCCATTGGGGCGTTGGCAAAGGTGGGGGAAAGAAATCCCATCATTTCCCTTCCCCACCGATTGTTATCCCCCCTTTTTAGGGATCTTGATCTTATCCCTTCGGGATATGATCTTATTCCTTCTAAGGGGGATCTTGGTGCGCCTTGACCATGGGTGTGGGGCCTTGCCCCCACTACCCACGTTCATGTGGGTCCCCCCATGCAGATGGGCCCCACTCCGGAACCTTCTAGAACCTTCCCGGTACAATACCAAAAAATTCCCAAAATTTTCCAGTGGCCAAAATAGGACTTCCCATATATAAATCTTTACCTCTGGACCATTCCAGAACTCCTCGTAACGTCCCGGATCTCATCCGGGACTCCGAACAACATTTGGTAACTGCACACTAATTCCCATAACAACTCTAGCGTCACCGAACCTTAAGTGTGTAGACCCTACGGGTTCGGGAATCATGCAGACATGGCCGAGACAGCTCTCTGGCCAATAACCAATAGCGGGATCTGGATACCCATGTTGGCTCCCACATGTTCCACAACGATCTCAT